TATTTGCTCTCACATTACACTGTGCACCATCTAGTGGGGTACAGGAAATGGCCTATAAAATGTTATCCCTTTGGTACCGCACCCCACAACACATCCATAACTATGAACCTGCCGCCGATGATACTTGCTGGAGGTGTGGCGGGGAACTAGGCACTTTCATCCACTTGGTAGGAATGCCCTCTAATTAGACCTTACAGGGCGACCATCCACACACTCATCCAACTGTTTTCAGATGACCCGCCACCACTGACCCCTGCAGCATTTCTCATACATCACACCACAATGCGCAACTCGGCAAAAAAATCCTTGACGATGAGGATCCTTAACATTGCCAAAGGCTTGATTCCTCTTTACTGGAAAAAACAGACAGGGTCTCCCCTGGCCCTATGGTACCAGCGCATGGAAGAGCTCAGGGCGAGGGAGGAGCTCTCCCTACAGGCGGAGAGGAGATCCTAGACGTGCATGACAATCTGGACACACTGGATCATTTCCACCAAAAGACCCGACTTTCAAGCCCTTATCCACGGCAGACATCAGAGAATACAGACAACGACGATGAAGACAGGTAGACCCAGCCCCGACTTATAGCCACAGTTAGGCACCTACCACCATCTGACTGACCCAGACCCCTCACAGGAGACGGGACCAGACAGAGCGACACACACTCCTCAAACTGGATGCCCCCCCACCCAACATGATGTGGGGCGGAGGGGGAGGTGGGACACCACAATTCGAAGGAACACTGTATTGGCCAATCGGCCACCTAAGTTTGAGGTCACATGAGGCTTGTGCCACCGCTACCGAAGCAGTTTTCCCCGACTCCCACCCAGCCCTCACCCTTCCCCCGCCCAGCTGCTTTGGCCGTAATACCAACGGGGAGACATTACGGGATAGAGACCCCATCAGCCAACCACCAACAAGACGTGGAGGGTAGAGAAAAAACAGTGGCTAGCTGGGGCTGCAAATCCTTCAGTACCCCCGACAGCAGTAGAGGCAATCCTATAGTAATGCCCACACTACCCACGTACCTAGATCTGTCACCGAGCGAACCACGGAGCTTAGGACTCAAGCAGTATTCCAGATACCTACGTGCTCCACACTACTTCCCTGCGGATCCAACAGCTTAGTTGTATATATGTTATGTCATAAGTACCTACGCGTACTACCGGAGTTGCTACCAACAATGAAACTATGTATGATGCGAAAATACGGGACCTACGACTCCTTCGCTGCTCAGGGCCTGCAAGCCCACACAAACATATACCGTGTTTGCACCTCATACCGATCTTCATGTTTTGCTAGAGGCCTGCGAGCCCCATGTTGCTTTCACGTAAAAATTGCATATAAGGCACAAATGGCTGAACCAATAAAGATTTTATTTACAAAAAAAAAGGGAGCTAGGGAGAGTAGGAACCCTACAGCAGTCTTGAAAATTAGTAGATATGAGCTAAATTGTTATATATATCTCTCATACCAGTGAGAAGAGGAATCATAGTATTAGTGTCCAAATCCTAGTAGAGTGTGGAAGTATAGAAAAAAATCCCTATAATAATACATTAAATAGTATATACAGGATACACACTCACTCCAAAATTAGAGCTGGATCACTCATATTTAGACTTAGACTCAAACTTCAAAAAAATCTTGGTTTAAAGGGGCACTATAGTCACCAGAACAACTACAGCTTATTGAATTTGTTCTGGTGAGTAGAAGCATTACCTTCAGAGAAAATTCAGTGTTTACATTACATCCCAGTGATAACTTCACTGGCCACTCCTCAGATGTCTGTTAGAGATCCTTCCTGGGTCATGGCTGCCTAAAATGCACCCAAACATTCCGTATCTCATCCCTCTGCATGCAGACACTGAACTTTCCTCATAGAGATTCATTGATTCAATACATCTCTATGAGGGGATGCTGATTGGCCAGGGCTGTGTTTGAATCATGCTGGCTCTGCCCCTGATCTGCCTCCTTGTCTGTCTCAGCCAATCCTATGGGGAATCACTGTGATTGGATCAGGCTACCACTTCTGATGATGTCAGCAGGCAGTGGGCAGGTCTACAGGAAACAGAGCCAGAGCTAGCAGCTCCATACTTGAATACAGTAAGATTTTGCTATATTTATGGAGGCATGAAGGTGCCCAGGTGGGCTTGATGGTGGTTTTAACACTGTAGGGTCAGGAATACATGTTTGTGTTCCTGACCCTATAGTGCTCCTTTAAGATTATCACGTGGTAAACATAGGTAAGAAGAGCAACAAACTAGCTTGTAACCAGACTTTGAGAAACTCTAAGCTTATCTCAATCTGCTCCTAGTGGGTTGCCACACATCACCATTAGTGTAAACCATTGGAATGGATCAGATCAAAGAAAAAGCTGATGTAAAAAAATAATTCAATTAGATTATAGGGTAGAGAGAGGATGATGGGTATTAATACTCCACTCTATCTACTACACACACTCCTCCCACCTCATTGCTTCGAGGCAGTCCACTTAAACAAATCTATCTAATCTATTAGATTGTCTCTAGTGCTCACAAAAGGAAAGGAGAAAATGTCTTCGTTAGTATTAATGCAGATTTCCCATTTTGCACTTTTATGTTTTTGTGTGTATTTTTAACCATTTTTCAAATGAAAGTGTATCTAAATTATCTTCTATCTACAGGTGACTTTTTACTTGGTGGTGATCCTATTTTTTTTAATGAGTGCTGTGCCATTCGTTTTTATTTTAAAGGAAAGGTATTCCTGAGTTTTCCCTAATTATTTTCCCATTGTTCAACACAGTGCTTGGGTAATGAGTTACTGAAATGCCATTTCTTATCACCATGCTATTAGGAAATTATATATTGTATTCTTTTCTCATGTTTCACATGTCCATGTTCTCCATTGACCTGACAACTTTAAAATAAACATTGTAAAAAGAATGGGAGCTAAACATGCTAACTGCATTAAAGAGAAGGGTGAATTGAGCCAAGTGACATTCAACGAAAAGATGCCACTCTTCTTTTACCCATTTGGTTTCCTCATCATCTATTCTTTAGTTATTACCCATTGTATCTACCTTGCCAGTTGATCCCCATTCCTATGCTCCCTCAAATCATATTGCATGTTTCTCTGACCACATTCATTCATCCTTCCTCCATTTGATCTCTCTCTGTGCTCACTCTGTGTTCTATTTGATATTCTCCCTTTCTCCATTCCTCCTATTGTTTTTACTCTTTTTCTGCCCACGTCAGTTCCTTCTATTTGATACCGAGCCTTTCTCCTGAGGTCTTCTCCAGTTGGTTCTGCTGTCTTCTCTTCTGATTTTGCAATTTGCCCCAGCTTATCCCGTAATTAATTTTTTACCTCTTCTCCCTGGGGGGGTTAAAGGATTATCCACGACGGGCCTCTGCCAGGTTTGAAAGGAATAAACAACAAAGTATGATTAGCAGTGTGGCGTCAGTTTTAAGTTACTTGTAAACATTTTTCTTTTAACAATGACTGGTTAGGTGTAAGAATTGCTACATGTAAACAATATATTCTGCTAAGTAATATATATTAGTTTATGTAACTAAGAAATTGTATATATACTGAGTAAGGAGTGTCTCTATTAGGATCTTCTATTGGATCTACCTTGGAAGCCACAAGTGTATTTTCTGCAATAAACTACTCAAAGCAGCTGCACGGGGGCCCTCACGTTTAGGGAGCTCATCAGATGGCCCATGCACTTAGGGCCACCTGATTCATATTGGTGAACAGGGGCCCAGTCAGGCACCGTGGCCCCTTAACATTACGACCAGTCTCCTGTAGTGTCGACAGGTGCCAGGAAGAAGTAAAAGCAGGTCACTTCCTCCCACATACATGCAGAGCCGCACAGGAGGGGAGGAGTGAATTTGCTCCAGCCCTACACTCCCAGCAAACATTACATAAAAGCATGCATTACAATGCCAACGGTACACACAAATACACTACTACATACACACACACACACACAAAAACATGCGTACATTTAAACACACAAATACAATCACGCAAGAATGGGCAAATGGTAGATCCCATCTGGAATAGCATTGTGGGTGTTGTACAACAGAAGGGGATTTACCTTATCCAAAATGTCTTGCACCTGAGCCCTCTCTACATTAGTTCTGCCACTCAATAGACCTATGTGTTTTGTCTTGTGTGTAGAGGAAAGAATATTACCAATGTTTTTTTATTTTTATGACAGTCTTCCTTAACATTTTCCTAGAAGTAAGCAATGAGAGGCTGGTTTTGAAAGTAGAATAGCCAGGGACTGAGGCTCCACTCATTGGCAAATATGATTAAATGGAGGAGTGGGTGCTTAGTGAGTCAGGGCAAACAAACTGAGAAAAAAAACCAACATATCTTGAAATTTGGGTAAGTAATTTAAAGCTTGGACAATGTGTTTAATTAGAATTTCTGAGCCCTGAATAAAAGGTAAACACAAAGTGTGATTACTTGAAATGGGTTCCCATTGGCTCCTACTTTTTTCACTCTATGGACCAATAAAAATGAGATCAAGTTGAGGTTGAGGATGTATTACGAATGTAATCAGGGATGAACAGTGATCTAATCTAGAGAAATGTCAGAGCAAAGAAGGATATCAATTGGGACATACAATTTGGAGGAAAACAAATATCATTGGACTAGAAGAAACCTGAGGGATGGTTGATATAAGCGGTAAGGTAGATAGGTTGGAGTAGGAAACATATAGCAAATGAGTTCTCACTTTAGGAAATGAGCCTGTAAGTATTGTAAAACCTCAAAGTGAATTTTAAATTTAATACCAGAGTAGCTGAATTGAAAGCATAGTTAACTTAGAGATCTTTTTCAGTTGAGATATTTTGACTTTAAATTTTAAAATCTTTGAATTTTCACTTTAGTTTATCCTACACTTCCCCTGAGGGCTTGGTAATCCTTAATTTTTCTCAAGCCAACAGTAGCCAACCTGTCTCGGACTGAAGCCCACTTAATTTTGTACCTTTAGTGAAAGCGTATAGGTGCTTCAATTCAACTTCAGAACCATCAATGACTGTCAATTAGGACATGAAAGACTATTGTAAATTATGAATAGAAAGTGCACAAGGTGGGAGAAATATACTCTTACATGCCTTCTATTTTTATGTTATTCTTTTTTTATGTTATAGTTTATTAAATGAACACACAACAGTGGCAGCCATTTTGCATAATAATTTTATTTATATTGCAGAAATGTATAGGCAAGTAATATAGGGATGTAAAAGTGCATCATAAATGTCTTCTGTGCTGAATGGCACTGTACTGCTGTGATCTAATAATAACCAGATGGCACAGAAGGTGGTGAAATGTTAATCAATGACTATCAATCGTGTGTATATGGCTATTTAAGTATGTTTCTTCCCTGATTCTATTTCATTACATTTTATTAAACATTCTACAGCCAGAGGAGCTGACAAGGCACTACAAAGCACTACAAAGCAATGCATCACCACATCCCTGCAAGTGAAAGTTTTAGAAGGCCTCATTTAGCTGGTGGAGTCCCCTGAGCACCCTGAAAATGTCTTGGAGGGCACTTATTGCATGTGTGACTCCCGGCTCACATCTTGTTAACATATTATTCCATGGGCCCAGTAATACAGTATTCTGGCTTCAGTATAAACATAACATTCTACTAACTGTTACTATCACATATAAATACTAGTCTTGTGTCAGCACTTAGAATAGAGAGGTTGCTGCACAGTTACTCACTTTACTCAACTGTACAATCGGAGTTGTTCCACAACCCAATTCTTTGGACACCTCAATCGTAGAATATGCTAGATTCTTGGTTGTTCTTATGTAGAAATTAATTTAAGGGTAAAATATTATGAAGATTCCATGAGATGTGAAAAAGTAATGTTCTGCGAAATGGGACAGGTTTTTCATCATAATGCTGGTATGTCAGGTATAGTGGATATTTTAGTGGATTATGATGGAAAATGTAGGAAATTGTGGGTCTATAGCAGGGCTAGGCAAATTTCAGCACTCCAGATGTTGTAAACTACATCTCTACTGATGCTTTGCCAGTATTAAGACTGTAAGAGCATGATTGGAGATGTAGTCAACAACACCTAAAGTGCGGAAGGTTGCCTACCACCGGTCTATAGTGTAAAGAACTCTATTACACTATTACCATGCAAGTATTTTTTTCTGAAGTGTCCCCTTTAAATGCACCCACAAAATCTCTCCTTAACCCTGTAAATTTGAATGGTTATTGTCATTATACCTCTATTGCGTGACCTTATAAATCTGCTTCTACCACTATATATATATATATATTTATATATATGTATATATAAATATATATATATATTTATTTAGTTTCTCAATTATTCAGTTTTGTTTCTTAAACGTTTAACTTTTTATCCACCCATTCTTCTCTAAATTCCTGTTAACGCCTGTCTACTACAACTGAACCTAACCTGTCCTACATGTTGTACCCTATCAGCTCCTATAACGAACCATTATATTTGCACAAGTAGGGCAGAGGTTTACATCATTTTTTTCACATCCTTTGTGACCCTTGATATATACCCTCATGTGTATTCACATGTGCTCTAGTATATATAAGTCTTGAGGTTTCTTAAGGAAGGGGTTGGACTGCTGCATTAGAAAAACCTGCTGAGCAACGTCTGCCCCAATTACTCTATAGGCGGGTTTCTTAATGTCCATTCTGCATAGCAGTACAGTGTTTTTACCATCTCAAAGCAGTCTCTGTGGGTGACAGTTGCAGAGCAAAAACATTGGGCAGCTAGTGGCCTCTTTGGTGATTCCAACTCTCTATTTACATTTTCCCAGAGGTTGGCTTACTTATCACTCTTTTTTGCTTCCTGAGTAGTTTCACTGTCTGTTGGATCTGTGCCAGAAGATTTTTCTATTTTCTCTGTCTTGGATTTTCCACTTGGTGTTGGTTCCTTTTTAGTGACCAATGTTTCTTTGGCTTTTTTGTCTACTTTTGGACTGTCTTCTTTGTTAGGTTTTTCTGTGATTGGAGACTTACCTTTTAAGGATTTTTCATCATTTTTTGCCTTTGGCAATTCCTTTGCTTTTACAGGCTCATCCTTATCTTCTGCCTCTGGTGACAAAATTTCTACCTTCACATGTTTGGTTTCCTTCTTTTCTTCTACCTTGGTCTTCTCGTCTTCTTTGACAGGCTTAACATCTACTGCCTTGGTAGGCTTTTTCTCTTCTTCTTTGGTTGGCTTCTTCTCTTCTTTGGCAGGCTTCTTCTCTTCTGCTTTGACTTGTGTCTTTTCCTCTGCTTTGGTTGGCTTTTTTTCCTCAACCTTAATCGGTTTTGTCTCCTCTTCTTTTGCTGTAGTCTTTTCTTCTTTGGTCAGCTTCTTTTCCTCTGCCTTGGCTGGTGTCTTCTCTTCTGCCTTGACTGGCGTCTTCTCTTCTGCCTTGACTGGTTTTGATTCCTCTACCTTGGCTGGTTTTGATTCCTCTACTTTGGCTGGCTTCTTTTCCTCTTTCTTGGCTGGCTTTTCTTCCTCTACCTTGGCTGGCTTCTCCTCTTCCTTGGCTGGTTTTGATTCCTCTACTTTGGCTGGCTTCTTTTCCTCTTTCTTGGCTGGCTTTTCTTCCTCTACCTTGGCTGGCTTCTTCTCCTCCACCTTGGCTGACTTCTTCTCCTCCTCGTCCTTGGTTGGTTTTGATTCCTCTACCTTTGCAGGCTTCTTCTCCTCTGCCTTGACTGGTTTTGATTCCTCCACCTTGGCTGGCTTCTTTTCCTCTGCCTTGGCTGGTTTTGATTCCTCTAGTTTGGCTGGCTTTGTCTCTCCCTTGACTGGCACCTTCTCCTCTGCTTTAGGCGGCTTCTCCTCAGCCTTGGCTGGCTTATCTTTTATTTCACCGGCTTTTTCCTCTGCCTTTGCTAGCTTCTCCACAATAGATGACTTTTCGTCTGCCTTAGATTTCTTTTCTTCTTTCTTAGGAGACTCCTCTTCTCCTCTGGCTGTTTTTTTCTCATCTACTTTCTCAGGCTTTTTATCACTGTCCAGCTGGATAGGCTTCTTTTCTTCCCTGGGTTTCTGCTTCTCCTCTGTTTTTGATGACTTCTGTTCTTGTTTAGCCGGGGCTGTCTCTTTCTCTGTTTTGTCCGACTTAGTGTCATCTGCCTTTGATTGATTATCTTCTGCTTTCTGTGTTTTTTCTTTGACTTTGTCAGGTTTTTCATCTTTTTCTTTAGCTGGCTTAACTTCTTTTTTATCAGACTCTTCCTTTTCTTCTTTGGCTGTAGTTGTTGCTTTCTCTCCCTTATCTTTTTTTTCTTCTTTTGTGGGAGTCTCAACAATGTCTCCCTTCTTTGCCACCTCTGTTTTTTTCTCCTGTTTTGTAGGTTCTGCTTGTTTGTCAGGTTCCTTCTTTCCATCTTTTGCAGAATCAACTTTGGCTTCTTTTTTAGGAGGCTCTTTAACTGGCTCCTTTATTTCATCTTTCTTAAGAGACTCTTTTTCAGATGGCTCCTTCTTTTGTTCTTTCTTGGGTATATCATCAGTTTTAGCTTTGTCCACTTTGTCATCATTCTTTCCTCCCTCCTTGGATGGTTCATCTTTTTTTACAGGCTCTGTCTTTTCTTTCTTCTTAATTGGTTCACCTTTTTCCTCTTTTTTGGTTGCTTCCTTCTCTTTATCTTTGATGGCTTCCTCACTGTCTGCTTTTTCATCTGTTTTACCCTTTGTCTCTTTCTCTGTAGTTTCTTCTTTTTTGGTTGATTCCTTCTCACTTTTCTTTGTTTTGTTTTCCTGGTCTGTTGTTTTGCTTGGCTCCTCGTCCTTAATTTTAGCTTTCTCTTCATCTACTACATCAACAGTCTTATCCTCTTCTTCTCCTGTCCCTGCTGTCTCTTCAGCTTCTTCCTCATCTTTTGTCTCCTCTTCTCCGACTTCTTTTTCTACTTCAGGAGATGCAATTATTTCTTCTTCCTCTGTCACCTCCTCAGTTACATGAGTTTCCTCTGTTTGTTTTTCTACAATTACTGTTTCTTTGTCTGATTTCTCCACAATCTTAATTTTTTCTTCTTTTTTAACTTTGATGTGCTTTGGGGTACTGGGAACCCTCACTGTTCTATCATCAAACGGGAAAAGGTCAAATCCAGACCCAATGCGGCATTCTTCACCTTCTAGCAACTTTCTAAAGATAAAGAACGGGACAGGAAAAGGTTGTTCAGATAAATCAGAGTTAAAAAATGCTATCATCCACTTCATAAGAATATGAAGTAAAGAACATTATAATATCAAATGTGAAAACATTTTTTGTACCACAGGCTTGTGCAATTACAGCTGTTTCAAAAGCAATCTTAAAAGGGGCAGTTGTTCAAGGCCCACATGCTTTGCAGACAACTGGAACATCTGCCCTTTTGCTTATCTATCACAGATTTAACCCCTCAATGTTTTGCAGGCAATAATAAAGTGTGGTCATAGATACAAACTGAGATATACTGAGTGTGTGATGCCCATTCACAGCATGTCAACATGGCTTATCAAGAACTCATATGCTCTATGGCAAGAAACGTGTGGCAGCAAAAGAAACGTAGGAACACCCATACATGTCAATACAGGTGTGAGGGGATGAAAAAGAGTTCTGACCTGGGACACCTATGATGAAGGGGTAAGGTCTTTGGAGGGATAAAAGCTGGGTGGGACTATGCTGAAGGGATGAAGTGCTACAAAGTTAGTGAGTGGTCAGTGATAAAGGAAATTATGGGATTTAGCCTATAATGAAGGAACGATAGTCGAGAAAGGGAAAGGATAGAATGCAGACGGTCCATTGATGAAGCAACATTTGCAAGGATAGTGTCAGCAAAGGGGGCAATGATGAGAGGACATTAGGGGGCTATGATGAAGCAATGAAGTGTTTTGGCAAGGTGAGGTTTATTATAAAATAATTAAATGTATTGAAATGGACTATAATGAATAGGAAAGCAATGGTGAAAGGATAAAGGGATGAAGTGCTGGGATAGAGGAGTCCTATACTGAAGGTATGATGTGATAGCAGAGAAGCAGGGTATGACAAAGTGGTAAAGAATGAGCTGCTGGGAGGAAGTGGGGCCTATGACGGAGTGATGATGTCATGTTAGGGAGGAAGTCCCTGGATGAATGAACTGGATGCGTGGCAGGAGAATCTAAGGGGACTAATTAGAGGGTGATGTACTGAAAGAAAGGTGGACTTATATTAGACGTAAAATTCCCAAAGATAGAACGAATATGTGTCGTGAAGGGAATCTTTAGAAGGAATGGGATAGGGCTCCTAAGATGAACAGAGTGGGTTCTGACTCGCAAAGGATTGTAAGTGCTTGGTTGAGAACAGATCCTAAATTGAAAGATGTGGATGTTTTGGGAGGATGAGATGAGATAAAGCAATTGGTGAAAGATGGGAGGTATATGTGAGGCAGATTGCTATAATATAATATGTATGCAGCAAGAGTATGGGAGAGAGAAACTGAGGGCTGAAAAGGGGTGATGAGAAAAAGAACACAGAGGTACAAGGAAGGAGTTTAGGGAAGGATGAGAATGTAGATCAATAGGTGCTTAGAGATGCAAGTGTTACTAAAGTTAATATGTGTACATTAGGGTAATATGACTGAGGTAAAAAGATTGCCGAACTCTTGAATTAACCTGAGATGATCAATTACCTATATGCAGCAATCTCGATATCTAGAGCCATCTTGACATTAAGGAGGTCTTGATACTCTCGTATCTGGGCAGCCATTTCCCACTTAGTGTTCCTCAGTTCATGTTCCAGCTGCTGCAGAGTATCCTGAGAAAGAGGTTAGAAAATATAATGTAATTATTTAATAGCTTATTGAATGAATAAATCCATTCCGTACAGAGCTATAAATTATTACACTACACATTGTGGTGCCAATAAATGTTAGAATTGGGTACTTCTGTTTATTTAAATTTTAGCATTGGGTACTTCTATATATTTCAAAGCTGGCATTGGGTACTTCTGTTTATTTCAAACTTGCTTGCTTATGACTTCTTAAAAATGCATCTCATCAGTATATGTTAGTAAGTTAACCTACTAAGTAACTAAATGTATGGAATCGGTTACCCTATGTTATAAAAATGACCAGCACTTTCATCTCTATATTGCAAACTCAATTTGTCTCATTACCCTAGTAGATAGACATGATGCAACCAATGTACATTCTGCTGACAGTGTAAATACACAGTACATGTATACCCTGCTCTCAATATGTAACATTCTGTGTGGCATTAACTGTTACCTGGTAAGATGCCATCTCAGCTTGGTGGCGGTCCTCCATATCCATGCATTGTCTCTCCAGGTTTTGCTGAGAATTCTTTAGTACCTCCAGCTGAGTAACCTGGCTTTGCAGTTGGTGCCTGTATGTGGTGATTTCATCGTTGGCAGAATGTATTGCCTGGGTATTCACATGAGATGCCTCATTAAGTTTATTCAATTTCTCTGTAAATGAGAACAGATAAAACAAACACGCAATGTAGATTTTCAGAAAATTCATGTACATTGTACAGATAAAATACAGTCAATATACATACACAGTCTCTTATATATAGTGCAGCAAATCCTGCCTCACTGGTGATCACAATATTTTGGGATAACCTGTCAACATACTGATATTTGGTTGAGACAATCTGCATCATAAGTAAATTCCAGTGGCTGATTTTCATGGACGATGGTCTGTCAAATTTGTCTGCCAGACGCCAGTACAGTATTTTGGAATCACGGTGTCTTTGGCCCTGCTTACAATATATAGTCCATAAACAAATATTACCACAGACTACAACTCCATATCTCCCAAAATTTCTGATGGAGGAAGAAGGACATTTTAATATTAGGGGAAGTGGTGTATTTCCCACAAGGCTAACAAGGCATTTGGGGGAAGCAAAAAAGGCAGCACCTAAGCGCCCTGGCAAATGCCTTGTTAGCCTCTGTCATGGGGGCCCAAGAGCTTGCCTCAGGTCCCTGATCCCCCCTCCTCCCACCCCCTAGACGTTCAGATGCTCACAATGCGGGTGGGGTCACAGTGATGCTGGGAGTCGTAATATGACGTCTGGCTCCTGACATCACTAAACGGCACGCGAGGGAGCTGAGCAGGAGAATTACAGCTCCCTCATCATCTCCACTGTGCGTCTACCTGTCAGCCCACTCAGCGCCAAGACAGCCCAGCAGCAGCCAGCCCCACTGGACCCCAGGCAAGAATCCAAAGGTAGAGAGGCTGGGTGGATTTAAATTAAAATTTAAAATACATAAATAAAACTATATACACTGCTCAAAAAAATAAAGGGAACACAAAAATAACACATTCTAGATCTGACTGAATTAAATATTCTTCTGAAATACTTTGTTCTTTACATAGTTGAATGTGCTGACAACAAAATCACACAAAAATTAAAAAATGGAAATCATATTTTTCAACCCATGGAGGTCTGGATTTGGAGTTACACTCAAAATTAAAGTGGAAAAACACACTACAGGCTGATACAACTTTGAAGTAATGTCCTTAAAACAAGTCAAAATGAGGCTCAGTAGTGTGTGTGGCATCCACGTGCCTGTATGACCTCCCTACAACTCCTGTGCATGCTTCTGATGAGGAGGCGGATGGTCTCCTGAGGGATCTCCTCCCAGACCTGGACTAAAGCATCTGCCAACTCCTGGACAGTCTGTGGTGCAACATGACATTGGTGGATGGAGCGAGACATGATGTCCCAGATGTGCTCAATTGGATTCAGGTCTGGGGAACGGGCGGGTCAGTCCATAGTATCAATGCCTTCGTCTTGCAGGAATTGCTGACACACTCCAGCTACATGAGGTCTAGCATTGAGTTGCATTAGGAGGAACCCAGGGCCAACTGCACCAGCATATGGTCTCACAAGGGGTCTGAGGATCTCATCTCGGTACCTAATGGCGGTCAGGCTACCTCTGGTGAGCACATGGAGGGCTGTGCGGCCCCCCAAAGAAATGCCACCCCACACCATTACTGACCCACTGCCAAACCGGTCATGCTGGAGGATGTTGCAGGCAGCAAAACGTTCTCCACGGCGTCTCCAGACTGTCTGTCACATGTGCTCAGTGTGAACCTGCTTTCATCTGTGAAGAGCACAGGGCGCCAGTGGTGAATTTGCCAATCTTGGTGTTCTCTGGCAAATGCCAAACGTCCTGCACGGTGTTGGGCTGTAAGCACAACCCCCACCTGTGGACGTCAGGCCCTCATACCACCCTCATGGAGTCTGTCTCTGACCGTTTGGGCAGACACATGCACATTTGTGGCCTGCTGGAGGTCATTTTGGTCCTCCTTGCACAAAGGCGGAAGGAAGCGGTCCTGCTGCTGCGTTTTTGCCCTCCTATGGCCTCCTCCACGTCTCCTGATGTACTGGCCTGTCTCCTGGTAGCACCTCCATGCTTTGGACAATACGCTGACAGACACAGCAAACCTTCTTGCCACAGCTCGCATTGATGCTCGCACTGATGTGCCATCCTAAGCCACTTGTGTGGGTTGTAGACTCAGTCTCATGCTACCACTAGAGTGAAAGCACTGCCAGCATTCAAAAGTGACCAAAACATCAGCCAGGAAGCATAGGAACTAAGAAGTGGCCTGTGGTCACCACCTGCAGAACCACTCCTTTATTGGGGGTGTCTTGCTAATTGCCTATAATTTCCACCTGTTGTCTATCCCATTTGCACAACAGCATGTGAAATTGATTGTCACTCAGTGTTGCTTCCTAAGTGGACAGTTTGATTTCACAAAGTGTGATTGACTTGGAGTTACATTGTGTTGTTTAAGTGTTCCCTTTATTTAATTTTTTTTTTTAATTCTTTATTTTTTTGCAGTCAGCTTGTGATAGACATTGTGTATGACATATTCAATAAAGTATAACATTGCGGTTAACCATTTACATGCAGTTGGTAGGATATCAATGTAGCCTGCGTTTTTTTAAATTTATTGTAATGTAGCGTGTTACTGCCATATACCTGCCTCCAGTGGTCGTGGTAGTGGGGGTAGATGTCTAAGGCATGTATGGCCGTACGTTAGCAAAAATGAGAGAGAAGTAGTGTGTCTCTAGAGCGGACAGGACGCTATAGGAGTGCAGCTCCACATGGTTGAGTGGGTGTTAGTGGATACTAGCGTGGAGCTGGGGGGGGTAGGTGGTCTTTAGGGAGCCTGTGTTCCCGGGTTAATCCCGGTCGCGGCTCATTTAGGTTTGTCTGGTGGGAAAGATGGTTACGGTCCTTCCCTGCTTGCGTTGTATATAATGCGTAGCATTTAAGTGTTGTCTGAGTAAAGGAAAATACAATAATAACCATAGGCGTGCGCACAGGGTGTGCCAGGTGTGCCTGGGCACACCCTAATCCCCGCGGCACGCCTATGTATTGAGACTGGCAGGGGAGATCTCAGGATCCCCCCTGTCGGCTCATGCAGAGCCGGCGCTATCTGAGCGCCGGCTCTACTCTCAGCCTCCCTCCCCACCGACCCACAGGCAGGGAGGGAGGCAGGAGAGGACCCAGGGAGCTCTTTCCAGCAGCTCCGCCGGTTTCCTTGCGCAAGATCTGAGCGTTGCCGCGGTTACCGCAGGCTAGAGTTCACTCTCACCACTAGGACCACTAGGGAAGGCAGAAAGGATCCCCTCTCCCTGGCATAAGGTAACAAGGGAGGGGGATATTAAGCAATCTGCCCCCACCTCCACTGGACCACCAGGGAAGGCAGCAGCACGGTTCCCCCTCCCTACATAAGGTAAGAAGGGAGGGGGGATCTTTATTAACTAATCTGCCCCCACCTCCACCCCCACAAATCACCCAAACAGCACACACACACACAGTACATTAACAGCACCCTCACAAGCGCACACACACACACAAACACCCACATAGCACACTACCAGCACCCTCACACAGCACACACACACATAGCAGTGTATATATATATATATATATATATATATATATATACATACATACATATACGCGGCGTGTGCTTGTGCTTTAGGGTGCACAACCTAATGCAATAATAACTAATAACTTATGCTGTGCTAACTGTGCATCTGTAAGATGCTGGCCCCATGAGGCATTTATGTCGTAATAGGTGAGAAAGCAAGGTTTAAACGAAAATAAACAGAGAAAATAGTCTCCAGAGTCAAGTATTGCTCGGCTGGGTAAACTCCTATTCGCCGGGATGAACGGGATAGCATTGGCCGGGTCCCAAGCTTCCCTTTAATTTTTTGAGCAATGTGTGTATATATATATATATATAAATATAAAAATATATATATAATTTGTAAGTGTGTAGTAGTGATCGACCGATATTGATTTTTTAGAGCCGATACGATAATCTGTGAACTTTCAAGCCATTAGCCGATAACTTATCAATATTCTGTACATTTACCATTTAAAAAAAATAAACTATTTAGACACAAATCTACTGTTTATTGAACAAGGTAAATGACTTAAGGTAAATGCACAAAATATACATGCCAGTCAGAATTGAGGTTTTCAAGAATATATGTGTGTGTAATGAATGCAGTGAGAGTATTTGATTAGTGAATGCAGTGTTTGTGTAGTGTGTGTGTAGTGGATGCAGTGTGTGTTTGTGTAGTGTGTATGTAAAAAAATCCAGTGTGTGTTTGTGTAGTGTGTGTATAGTGAATGCAGTGAGTGTGTATATAATGAATGCAGAGTGTGTTTGTGTAGTGTGTGTATAGTGAATGCATTGTGTGTGTATAGTGAATGCAGTGTGTTTGTGTAGTGTGTGTATATAATGAATGCAGAGTGTGTGTGCGTTTGTGTAGTATGTATATAATGAATGCAGAGTGTGTGTGTGTTAGTGTAGTGTGTGTATATAATGAATGCAGAGTGTGTGTGTTTGTGTAGTGTGTGTGTATATAATGCAGAGTGTGTTTGTGTAGTGTGTGTGTGTTTGTGTAGGTATGTAGTGTGTGTAAATGGGGGGGCATTTTTATTTTGTTAACTTTAAAAAAATAATAATTAAATTGTTACTTGGCCAGAGAGGGGGGATATGGCATTCCCTGTTGGTCCGGTGGCATGGACTGTGCAGCGGAGGGCCCTCAGCAAGCTCTTACTTACCTTCTCAGCAGCTCCTTTCAGCTCCCCTGTCTAAATCGGAACATGCAAGATTTAGACAGGGGAGCAGAAGGGAGCTGCTGAGAAGGTAAGTAAGAGCTTGCTGGGCCCCCCAGGACCGCCAGGCATGTCATGGACCCGGCGGTCCTGATCGGCAATTTCGGTATCTTTATTGACCGATACCAATATTGCCGAAAATACCGAATATCGGCCGATAATATCGGTCAGACCGATAATCAGTCGATCCCTAGTATGTAGGTGTGAGTTTGTCAGTATCAGGGTGTCTGTCAGTGTGTCTGTGTGTCTATCAGTGAATATATGAGTGTCTGTGAGTGAGTGAATGTGCGTGTCTGTCACTGTGTGTCTGTGAGTGGATGTGTCTGTCAGTGAATGTTTGTGTGTCTGTCAGTGAATGTCTGTCAGTGAGTGTGCATCTGTTAGTGAGTGTATGTGTCTGTCAGTGAATGTGTGTGTCTGTCAGTGAATGTATGTCATCATGTATCTGAGAGTGTGTGTCTGTCAATGAGCGGGTGTGTCTGAAGGCCAACTGCATGCTCGTCTTAAACAAGTCAGGGCAAGGCAAATTTAGAATGGGGGGGGGGTGAGTTTCTTCATGCCTAGGGTAGCACAATGTTAGCACATTATGTGGTTGACAGAAAAATTTAAAATTACCAGACACAAGTGGTAAAGGAAGAAGACGTGATGCCCGACCAAAAACATTTAGACATTATCTGACCATACAAATGGGTGTATTTCTTAAAGGGACACTGTAGTCACTAGAACAACTATAGCTTATTGTATTTGTTCTGGTGAGTAGAATCATTCCCTTCAGGCTTTTTGCAGTAAACACTGTCTTTTTAGAGAAAATGCAATGATTACATTGCAGCCTAGGGATATCTCCACTGGCCACTCCTCAGAAGACTGTTAAAGGTGCTTCATGGCTCAGTGCTGCACAGTGCTTCCACCCTCTGCATGGAGACACTGAACTTTGAGGAGATTCTGATTGGTCAGGGCTGTTTTTGCCTTGTGTTGGCTCCGCCCCTGTTCTGCCACTTGACAAGCTCAGCCAATCCAATGCTTTCCTATGGGAAAGCATTGTGATTGGTATTGAGCAACACTTCTGGTGATGTCAGCCAATCAGGCAGATCAGGGGAAGAGCCAGCAGCAGCAGACTGGAATAAAAGTAAGATTTTACTATATTAATGGAGGGCAAGAGGAGCTAGATGGTGTTTTTAATACTATAGGGTCATGGAATATATGTTTGTGTTCCTGACCCTATAGTATTCCCTTAACATAAATTAGTTTACAGTTGGATCATTTGCAAAAGAAGTTCCTGATAAGATGCCTATAGAAAATCACTTTATATTGTGAGAAATAGGCCAGTCTGTAATTTATGGTCCTTTACATTTGTTCATTGATATGTTCAATGCATCCTGAACATGGCTTACCATTTATCTCCATTATTTATACTGACAAAATTACATGGCTTTATTCTTATCAACTAATCTAATTCTGTGCAGATATTTGTTGCACGGAGTGGGTGAGATTTTTCAGTGTTCTATTCTTAAAAGTGATGCAAAATGTAAAATGTGAGGAGTAATGAATGGAATGGTCCCCCTAGTTCCCATAGTGATTGCTCCATTTTTAGTACTTTAGTTTAGACTATATTATAGAGCAGAACACTTTGAGAAATCTCCACCAATTGATTAGTTGGGAAAGATTTGTTTATTTTAAATGGTTATTATGTTTTGCTCCCTGTAATCCAATGGATACAGGAAGATATTCTTGTTTTGAAACACAAGAAAATATACACGTGGAAAAGTGGAAGGTCTTTAAAATGGGACTAAAATACAACTGTCAACACATATTCACTTCTTATTTTTTAAACGTTTATTATATTTAATAAAACTTAATGATTTATTTTTTAAATTATGTATATTGATTGAACTTTATCTGGCTGAGCAGCCATATTGGCTCAGATTTTACTGTTATCTGACCAACTGCTGGGCAACCTAACTTGTCTGTTGCTGCTGCAGGTTCACACATATCAACTGCAGAAGCATTCAAGTAAATCAGAGCAGCAGTCACTAAAGAGATCATTAATTTCCATTAAATTTAATGAACATTAAATTTTTTTTAAAAAGAAGTGAAAATTTGATGACAGTTGCCCTTTAATTCCCATAGTGGATAAATGAAACTATTTATAATAGCAATAGCTAGTGATGGGACATGATGTTTCATTTGGTGGCAGACAATATAATTTATGTTTACTGAGATTGTAAGCTTGCTTGATCAGGGCCTTTTTCCCCTCTTGTCTCTATTAATAATGTATGTGTCAATTACTTGTCAAATATCTCCATTCTATGATTGCAAAGCAGTGCTGAATAAGTTGGCCCTATTTAACCGCTAATACCAATGGGGGGCAGGGCCTAGCCATTATGGTGGAGACACGTACTTCACAATGGCTCCCTCACAATCATGACCAAAAATGATTTCTAAAGCCCCTGTACACTCGACCTGGGCAAAAAACAGCAACAGACAAGTTCCTTATCAAAGAGGGCTTACAGTGTGTTGATCTGCAGCCCAAACGAAGCTTGCTTACCCAAGATCGAGTCCTGCGGCCTGGTGCGCATAGGGCAGAAGAAGCGGCCAGTCTTCTTGGGGGGTGCCCAGCGGCGGATGATAGGGTGTATGAGCCCCCTTACCCCCTTGGACCGGTAGGGGTGATCCCGGTACACCCATGGGAGGCTACCCTGTTGTTGCTGGAGCTCGGGATGAAGAGGGTCGGAGGGTGACACTGTGCAGTAAGTTCCCCAAGATAATGAACACCGCGTACATCGAAGACCCCAACACAGCTCAAATTGATTTCCTGGCCCGACTGGACAGAATATTAGAAAAATCCTGGCGGAAGCTGGAGCAAAATCTCGCCCCACTGCAGCAGAGCGGATAAGTAACTCAACGACACACCCTACAGAAGTCCTCTATCCCAGCGGCTCAAAAGGCCCAGAGATGATGGCAGAGAGCACAGTTCTCACCAAACCTGACCAAGGTGTCCAAGTGTCAGTCATCATGGCGGCCTGCAGCCGAAGTCTGGGACGTTTCAGAAGAACTGAGGGGAGCCCTAACCTTGTTTTCAGTATGTGACAACATGCCCACTACTGGATATGCAGACCTACAGCATAGTCCCCTGATACAGGACTATCTGATGGGCATAGGATGAAACAACCATAGGGATAGGACACACTTCAACTCCTGATTACATACTTGACACCATTTTACTATTGATCGCTGGGGGACTTGTCTGTCCTACTGTTTAGTCCTTTATTGTGGTTTGCGTTGTTTCTGCTCATTTTACCTATGCTCCTCATAATCCAAGTCTTTATTACTTTGCTTTGGGGGGCTGCCTATGGGTACTAACACTACTATGCTATGTTAAATATTGCGGCATAACCTGTTTTTACTTGTTCTCCAAAAAGGAACGGTGCAGATACTCTTGACTCCTTATGTACTACTCAACATTATATTTGTCCTGTCTTATGTTTCAGACTTTGGTATTTCACAGTGCACTTGCAAAAATAAAGAATGTAAAAAAAAACTGCTAATGATAATAATTATAATAATAAAAGGCATTCCTATATTTTGTATAATCCACTAGGATAGCGGATAGCAGTAACCAGTAGCAGTGAACAAAAAAACATTCATGGCTTTCATCAGAGATGTCTAATTAGAAAGCTGTGTTTGAAGTAGCAGACAATTATTTCCTGCATTCTAACCACATGCTCTTCTATACCGGGCAAGGGTCTCTGGGATATGATGCTATATTACAGCATTTGCTGTAATAGAACACAGCAAAAGGGAGCAGGTACTGTGTTGTTACTACAACATAACTCACATGATTGGGAAAAAAAAAACTTGACAATGAAATTACAGGGTTTTTTGGAACTGAGTATTACATTATCAATTAAAACCACAAAAACACCAACAATATCACCCATTTGGGGAAAAAAACATTGCAAATATTACAAAAAGCTTTGTTGCGGTTCTCAAGATTCATTACCAGTCCAGATAATATCGGTAATTGGTCCCCTTTACAAAGGCATTGATGCTAGTCGTCAGCAGTGGGCTAGTCGTCAGCAGTTGAATGCTATCAGTGGAAATACAATTAGGACGTAGTTATTAACTAGGTTATGTGTGCTCACTACAAGGATTATAGAGATAGCTGTAGTATTGCTGTATATGTTTCCCAATAAAGTCAAATTAAGATGATTGATATAGCTAGAAGTGTAATTAAAGAGTTAGTCCAATCGTCATAATCAATGCAGCCCGTTGTAGTAGTTGTAATGGGTGGGGTAGCCTGACCCAGTTCACCGGTACAGGGGCCAAACCATTTAGCCGCGGATTTCCCCCTTACCCAGTGGCGTACTAAGGGGGGGGCGGTCCGCCCCGGGTGCCAGCAGGGTGGGGGGTGCCTTGGGAGGGGGCGCCGCCAGGAGCGCCGGCCCCCCTCCTGCTGCAGCCGCTCTGCAGAGAGCCTCAGGTGGCTGCAGCTTTGCACGCCCGGGCGCAGCCTGAGGACAGGGGCTGACAGGAGGGAAGCGCTCAGCGCTTCCTCCTGTCACTCCCTCCCTGTGGCGTGGCCGAGCCCTGTATTATTCCTGTACCCAGCCGGACTAACAGGAAGTACACACTCAGTGTGCATTTCCTGTTAGTCCGGCCGGGTACAGGAAACAAGCACAAGACCAGCCCCGGGTGCCAAATGCTCTAGGTACGTCCCTGCCCTTACCTGAGTCCCGACCAGACTCTTAGCCTCTCTGGTGGTCTGGTGGCGTGGTTCCAGCTTCTGCAGAGCTGCAAAAGCTGTGGCAGTCATCATTTAGTGCCGGATAAATGCATCAGCTGACGTTCCTCCGGCAATGACTGATATTCTGTGAGGTAAAATTTGTGGAGTTCTGGACTGGCTGATGTCAGCCCAATTATGCTGCCGGAGAGGTTAATCTCCGTAGGTGCAGATTTCAAAGCAAAACATTGTACATACAGACTCCAGGTACCATAACTACTTCAAGTCACTGAAGTGGACATTATGCTTTAAACATAAATGGTGCATGATTCTAAAATATAAAGATATGTGATGTGAGAGATATATAAGCAGCAACACATGCACATATTAACAGAGGTTGAGGAATCAGATGCATTTATATGGTCATATATTCCATTTGCACAGAAACCACAAGGTTTAATTGACTTAAATATAATCACAGATCAATATATGGCACTTGTATACTTAGAAAGCAGATACAGCCAAATGCAAATTTTCAAAAATATATGCAGATTCATTTGTTCGTTTAGCAGAGTATGCACATTTGGTACTAATGCTTTAAACCTGCCATTTCTTGGTTGATAGTGGACTTTAGGTTCACACCCCATTTTATTTCATTGGGATGTGCAATAAGTTTTTGTAATATTATTATTATTATTATAAGGTGTGTACTGAAAATACACTGAATTAACTTTTTTGTACATTTCTTTTCACTGAAAGTAATTTTTTGATTGTCTGCCAATGTGTGTCTGTCAGTGAGTGAGTGACATGAGGGGACTGCAAAATGGATCTTTGCCTGGGGCAGCAGAAATCCTTGCACCGGCCCTGGGAAGGATATGTTGGTAAATGCTTTTAAATAAAAGGTGGTAAGGTCATCTAAGACTGACTGGCAATCTGGTGGTTAATAAAGTCAAATGTTTTAAAAGGTTAAAGTTTTTGTTATATGTTTATGGTTATGTAATTATGGTTGTAAGACCCTTAAGCTTTAAATAAAGACCGCGGCCAAGCCCATTGAAAAGTAAATAAACATTTGTGTCGTCTAATTTTATTTATACCAATATTGCCCACAATACCTATGCTTAATTTCTAAATTCAGCAGATAAAGTACCCCATCTGTAAAAATGCAGATAGGGATCTAAAGAGAGAGAGGGATGACTATGTAGCCATATATGAGTTTGTGTCTGGGTAGACCTTGCACACGCCTATGGTAGGAATGTTATAATACTGCAGTAAGAAGTTGTATAATGGGGGAGATTTATCAAGGTTTTCTGTTCTAAAGAGTGGTTCTAAACTGTTACTTGATGGAATTACCATTGCAACGTGCTAGGTGCATCCACTGATTTCCATAGTCATTGCCCACTTTTAGTATTTTAGACCATTTTTGGAATGTAACACAAAATTTCCCTCAATGTGTCTAACATAAATATGATAAGAGCGGAGATCCTACGTAGTTTGTTTTGTGTGGTCCATTCATGCATAGCAGAGGCATGTAGTCTGTAAAGGTGTGAATAAGGCCAATAATATACAGAAATATAAGGTAGTGAGCAGCAGTCACTTAATTCTACTAACTGTGATTCTCAATAAGAACACATTGTTCTGGTGTCATAACGCCTATAACACATAAAGCACGGTAAAAGGGTGTGTACCAGATACCTTCTCCAGCCCCCTGACTGTAATTAATATCTATTTAAATTCAAGGCAACAAGCCAGGTGGATCAGTTGCCAAGCTGAGCATGTGCTGGGTTGGTCCAATGCTGCAGTGCAGGAATGAGCAGTAATGGGAGCACATGCCCTGTGTCCGTTTAGCTGCTGCATTGCAGCCAGAAATTATGCTATCCCAAGAATTCAGTTATTAAATATTTCCATTACTTTCTGCCCACTGTAGAGATGAGGGCTGAAAAATGAATGAATTCATTTCAATCTTGTCACGTGCCAGCTGTCTGCACTTCTGCAGGAGCCAGGCCTGAAGGTGTCCTTGGAGACAAGCCACCTCTAGGACTAAAGCATCTCTTGCCTAAATCCTCTGATATATATCCCATACAACCCGTTTACATTCACCTCCTAACAAGCAACTCTAGAATGTAATCTTACAAAAGGCAGGGATTTTGTTTATCAGGGTGTATCAATACAAATGTTAAATCTCTTGTATGATCTCAGCGTTTTTTAACATGGCTGCACAGTGCATCTCAATTGCCTGTCACAAATATATCTATATTAGTATCCCTTATGCATATCTAACACATTGCTCTCTTTTAGAGGTCCAATGCCTGTTTGGCACCAAACAGTTTCCCTCTTCTCTACCTTGATGTCGATCTTTTCGTCTTGATCTAAAAGACATATATAAAGATTATATAAATAGATAATTAAATAATTAAACATTTGAGTAATGCACCCAACCTCCCAACACAAACTAATAAAAGAAAAGCGTCTCTTTTTGCTCACATGCGAGGTGTGCTCTTACAATATTCTAGTAATTCAACCTTATACAGATTTATCTGTTCCCAAACATTGAAACATTCCTTTTGTAGATTGCATGTAAAGGTAAAACTGCCAGGCTCTAATGAGGTTATAACCAAGGGTAAATATTACAAATTTCAAAATATAAAAGTTGAAAATGCCAATCTAAGGGGTGTATCATGCATTACACTGATGTACCATGTGCAACCTTTTCAATTGTATATTTTTTTAAAGCTGATTTTGCACATGAATAGGAGCAGAAACAACTTTTTATCTATATTTTCTTCAGTCAACATTTACAAGTGAATTAAAAAGTTATGATGAGAGAATAAACAATAAACCAAGCGTGTATACTATTTTCACCCATTCAAAAGCTAGTTTAAATTCAAATTATGGTAAGTGACCAGAAAATGCTCAGGCAAGAACGCTCAAATGGCAATCCACTCCCTCTACTCTCTCTCTCTCTCTATATATATACTTTCTACCTAACAGCAAAGCAGGCAAAATAGACAAAACCCAATACATTTACTTATAAATGATATAGAACATCTTACATTTAAATGCAGCTACACTGTAAATTAATTTAGAACAAATAATACGTAATTTATACAATGAGGTATGACTCCATATCTCAAATGGAACGTAGGAATAAATTCCGGATGATTCACTAATCTGTGGACTGTTGAGAAATATACAGGCCAATATACATAAAATAGATATTTTGGACATATATTTTAATTTATCTGGTGTGTTTCTGACAACTCGTGACTTGTGAATAATTGTGCTAGTCTTGTAAATATAAATATCAAATCTTTTCCTTAGCAATCTGTCTGTGGAGAAAGACTACAAGAAATTTTACATTTATACTGTGATGCAACAATTTATCTATTACTGCACATGGCAGTATGAAAGAATCAGTGAGGGTGCGGATCTGAATATAGAATCAAATTGTGACTCATGGATATACACTTTAAGCACTTAACCACTTCTCAACTGGAAGAGACAAAAAGCCATACTGAAAACTTACTGCAACATCACATCAACAGAGTCATCACAAACAGGGAATATAGAACTACATATTGATTTTCCAACAAGTATAAGACAGCCAGTAAACATATATCAGAAGCAATGTAAAGCTGCAGTGAATAGATTAAATAATTGTGCCCAATTAATATATGAAGCACTTAAAATGTTTCTTTTTATCTGTGCAACTCACTGTCCAATTAATGAATGAGATTCTGTGGATTTAGCTGTTTCTGCTGACTGGTAAACAAGGTTATTTACTAAATAGAGATTTGTCAGGAAATGATCAAAGACATTATTATGCTTAGACCGTAACAGTTAACTAACAGTTCTCCAATTAAGCTATAACTCCCTTAGCCTAGATTTAAAAGTTTGCTTTTCAAGACAAGCTACCACACAACCACTGGTTAGTGAGTTCCCCCTTAGTTTTATTGAAGTTATTCTGAGATTATAACTGATGGAATTCACTGATCTAAAGAGTCCCTTGTGTTAAGTGATCCCTTACAACCAGATGTCAGACTGAAGGATGTTTCTCAGGTTTTTTTTTGGCATAGTATGAGTTTAAGTAGAGTGCCTTGGTCTAGGATGTGTGTGTGTCAATTTTCATGTGTATCTCCCCATCTATCTGCCTCCTACACTGGGAGCAATTTGTCTCCTTCCTCTCACCTTGGAACCAGTCCTGGACCAGGGCATTGTTTTTGCCAATGTGGCCCTCCAGCTGTGCCCTGATGTCCTTGAGTGCTGATGCCAGCTCCAGGCCTGGTACTTCTCCCAGCTGCTGAGTTGTCACCTGGCTCCCCTGGATCTGCTGTAACATGTCCTCCACGTCCTCCTGGTGGCTCCTGCACAGCTGGCCCACCTCGTCCTCCAGGACCTGCACCTTCCTGGCTATCTGCTCCCTGTCCAGGCTGCTCTCCTGGAGATATTGCCTCAGGGCCCTCTCTGCAGCCAGGGCCTCCTCCCTCAGCCTGTGCTCCTCCTGGGTCTTCACCCTCAGCAGGTCCATGTCCTCAGTCAGCCGGTCCCTCTCCAGCTGCTCCTGCCCATTCTCTGACAGGGTTTTCAGGAGCTGGTTCCTCATGTCCCTGATCTCCCTCTCATACAGCTGCCCAATAGCAGACACCCCAGCCTGCTGCTTCCTCAGGTCACTGGCCTCTTGCTGCAGGTACTGGTTCTGCTCCTCCAGCCGCCTCACCTTGTCTATGTAGCCGGCAAAGCGATCATTCAGCCCCTGCAGGGCCTCCTTCTCATTGCGGGGCCCATTGGAGGGCTCGGGGCCCTCGCTGTAAGCCAGGGGGGCCACAGTGCGGCGGCTCCGGCTCTGGGACTGGAAGCTGCTGCTGCCACTGTGAGTGAGGGACACAGAGCTGGAGCGCTGGTAAGTGTCACCCCCAGGGTGCCTGCGGTAAGTCGCTGGTCCCATGGAGCGCTCCAGGCTGTAACTGAGCATGTTTAGGGGAACTTTAAACTTTCAGTGGGTGAGGGAGCAAAGGGATAGGGGTAAGTAAAGCAGACAAGGGGTGACTAGGGAGAGAATGGGGAGTGCAAGTTTGGGATAAATACTGTGGAGATGCTTTGATGTAGTCAGAGAGATGCTGAGAGAGTGAGGAGATGCTGGGATGTAGAGTCTGATACCCAGAGTGAGGAGATGCTGGGATGTAGAGTCTGATACCCAGAGTGAGGAGATGCTGGGTGGCAGTCAGAGAGATGCTGAGAGAGAGTTGATGCTGGGATGATGTAGACTAGAGAGTAAGTCAGGTGCACACCGTGTGGGGAGAAGCAGGGCACTGCGGCAGATAGAGGACAGCATCAGCATTTATACTGCAGCAAACTTCTCAACTCAGCAGAGCAGACACCACCCCTGCGTCACACTCTGCCATGCTGACTCTCAGCACAGGAGACCTGAGAACAGCAGCTCAGCTCAGCTCAGCTCATTGCATAACATGCAGTTACCCAGGGCAATGAAATAATGTAAATAAATAAAGGATATGCTTATATCTGGATTGCATTTTGTTGCAGTACATACAGTTGAGCTGTGCTTTGCATTGTCATGCACTGTAGCAGTATGTTAATAATAGACACCCCCGCACCCCCAATACCGGATATACTACATTGCACTGCTCTGCCCTAAACACATCTGCAAGAGAGTGTGGTGTTAAAAACTGCTTTGTAATCCTTCATTTGCCAGCAAGGATTTTCAAGGACCTTCATTCCAGATCCTATATTATTAGAACCTTGAGGTACAAGACATTATGTGCTGGAAAATGCACTTCTTGCACCAATAGCCCAGTTTGCATGACTGCCCTCCCAAAATAGTGTATTTTCAATTTGCACAGTATATTCATCATATTTCCGCTAAGATCTAATTTAAAGCTACATTCCAGAACCCTACAGCAGGTTAACTTGCTCAAATGCTTTAGGATTTATGTCCCTGTTCCTTCAGGTTTGTTTGTTTCTTTTATAAAAATCACGTTTGTATTGCTGTTTTATGAGTCTACGCACAAGTAAAGAATTATAAAAATAAAATAAAATTGTTGATTTCAAGTGAAATCAGCATTTTTATACAGTCCCATAGCAAAACATCCCAGCTTTCAAGCATACAGCACAGAATATTTCCTGCCTCACTCACAAAGGTTCATAGGTAAGTGAGTGCATCTCATAGACAAGCAGTGGTTTCAACTGTGGTGATTGCAGTGCATGCGCCATGTGTGCAAATGCTTCACAGAAGGAGGAACAGAGCTACAGCAAGGAATATGAACCTGTATAGCTAGTGCTATAAAGCCCTGCTCCCTATTTACATTAGAGGCCCCCCAATTGCAATAAAAACAGAAATAAATGTTTTATATAACTTTTTTTCCAGTATTGAAACTTCCTTGGTCCGACTGGCAGCTCCACCTCCTGCAATGTAATCCTGTAGGCATTGCTCTCTTGGTGATGAGGAGCATTGGTGACATGATACACATTGTGGTGAGCGCCATATGTGCATCCAGTCAAATGCTTCTCATAGAATAGCATTGAACTCAAGCCTAGTATTACCTATACTAGCACATAATAGATGCGATACACCCAAAGCTGTTAAAAGAGCTCAGTGGTGTACTAGCAAAACCATTAACAGATTTATTTAACCAATCATTGTTAAAAGGAGTAGTCCCAGAAGATTGGAAGTTAGCGAATGTTGTGCCCATTCACAAGAAAGGTAATAGGGAGGAGTCGGGCAAATATAGGCCAGTAAGCCTTACTTCAGTAGTGGGGAAAGTGATAGAAACCATGTTAAAGGATAGGATTGATGAACATCTAAAATCACATGGATTTCAAGATCAGAGACAACATGGGTTTACTTCAGGGACATCATGCCAAACTGATTGGGTAACTAAAATAATAGATCAGGGTGGTGCAGTAGACATTGCTTACCTAGATTTCAGTAAGGCTTTTTACACTGTTGCACATAGAAGGCTTATCAATAGTGATGTCCCGAACGGTTCGCCGCGGACGGCAAACATATGCGCTGTTCGGTCCGCCCCCTATTCGTCATCATTGAATAAACTTTGACCCTGTACCTCACAGTCAGCAGACACATTCCAGCCAATCAGCAGCAGACCCTCCCTCCCAGACCCTCCCACCTCCTGGACAGCTCACTAAGAATGCAGCTTTACAATGAATGTAAAATGGATGCTGTCCAGGAGGTGGGAGGGTCTGGGAGGGAGGGTCTGCTTCTGATTGGCTGGAATGTGTCTGCTGACTGTGAGGTACAGGGTCAAAGTTTACTCAATGATGACATAGGGGGCGGACCGAACAGCGCATATGTTCGCCGTCCGTGGCGAACCGTTCAGCAAACCGTTCGGGACATCACTACTTATCAATAAAATGCAATCTTTAAGTTTGGATTCCAATATTGTTGAATGGGTAAGGCAGTGGCTGAGGGACAGGCAACAGAGGGTTGTAGTCAATGGAATATATTCGAAGCTTGGACTTGTCACCAGTGGGGTACCTCAGGGATCTGTACTTGGATCCATTCTCTTTAATATTTTTATTAGTCATATTGCAGAAGGTCTTGATGGTAAGGTATGTCTTTTTGCTGATGATGCAAAAATATGTAACAGGGTTTATGTTCCAGGAGGGATAAGCCAAATGGCAAATGATTTAAGTAAACTAGAAAAATGGTCAGAGAGAAATGCTTTCCTATGGGCCGTTTGAATGCGCGTGCGGCTCTTTCCGCGCATGCGCATTTGGTGCTTACGTCGGCAGGAGGAGGAGTGTTCCCCAGCACCAAGGTAGCCCGGCGCTGGAGAACGGTAAGTGGCTGAAGGGGTTTTAACCCCTTCAGCCCAGCGGGAGTGGGACCTTGAGGGTGGGGGGGACCTAAAGACCCTATAGTGCCAGGAAAACTAGTTTGTTTTCCTGGCACTATATACTGGTCCTTTAAATTAGAGTGGAAAGGTTTAAAAAGAATATCAGGAAGTATTACTTTACTGAGAGGGTAGTGGATGAATGGAATAGCCTTCCAGTTGAAGTGGTAGAGGTTAACACAGTAAAGGAGTTTAAGAATGTGAGGGGTAAACATAAGGCTATCCTAACTATAAGATAAGGCCAGGGACTAATGAAAGTATTTAGAAAATTGGGCAGACTAGATGGGCCAAATGGTTCTTATCTGCCGTCACATTCTATGTTTCTCAGTAGAATGCAGACGAAGTAGATCCAATCTCTGAAAAAATTGGAAAAGAGAGACATTGAGTTGTAATTATCTTATTTTTATAATTATTCAAATATTAATTTGCAGCTAATTAGTGAAAAAGCATAAAAGCAAAGTGGGAATGAATTAAAAGTAATATTTGTGTGTAAATGACAATAATAAAATAAAAATCTAAAATATTACTTAAAGCTAATAACACAAAAACACAAAGCACTATATAGAGAGTATTTGTCATACTCCACATGGTATAACAAATGACCATGAACAAATAGGTCCACTGAGCGTCTAATATATACAAAGTCTAAAACACGATGCCTGTCTGTGCTCATTTGTATGTGATATATGCTTTCTTGAGTTTCTATGCTCAAGAAGGACTTCTCAAAGACCAACTTGAGATATGAAGGTGATACATAACAATATATTTTACAGAGCTCGCGCATGCATTAATGTCGTTTGGGATTATTCTTACACTTGGATGTTTTATATTTCCCTTTTGTGTTTTCTTGAAACTCCTTATATTTCCCCTGTATAGCTGGGGTGTTTTGGTTTCCCTGTGGTTTTCTATCTCTGTGGCTTTTTTTCCTGCATTGTTTGCTTTCTGTTCTCCTCTGTGTTTTTACCTGCTGCCTGTGAGATGCTGTTTATCACTGGCTGCTCTGGCCACCGAGGGTACTTTGTGGGGCTTGTTTGGGTCCTCTCTAACTGTGCTCCAGTTGTAAGGAGCTATTTTAGTTATTTTTATTACCAGTAACGCAGAACCATGCTTGGTGTCGGTGGGAGCAGATCTGACTACTGTAGAACCTCTTGCTGTGCATTTTTCTCTTCATTCATGTCTCGCTTCTTGTGTACAGATGAGCCCTGTTTGTTTTAAATGTGTTGCTGATGTTGCCTGCTGTTATACATATCTTACTAGTGAGCTCAAGGTTTTTGCTTTTCATCTTATTGTCCTGTGTTCTATATTTTCCTGTACTTTTGGCCTCTCTTTGTCCCCATTGCCTGCTTCAAGTGTACTTATTGCTTTTTTGGCCTCCACTGTCTCCTGTACCAGCTGCTGAGCCCTTAGGCCTCTGGGTAAGTCCTACTGGCTTACTTGCACACCTGATTCAGTTGTTTCCATTTCCCCTAGGGGGAGCACCCTAACTCTCCTATTATGGAATTTTTGCAGGCGCAGTCTACCAGTATTCAAGCGCTAATTGATGCAGTAATGGCTAGAAGGCCTACAGCCTTCTTGGAACATTTACCTTGTAGTGCCCTTCAGTACACAGAAACAGTGCAGCCGCCTTTGAGTTGGAGCTTTCCCAAAGATCTGAGGCATTCCTCTCATAACACCATTGGAAGGGACAGGCGTCCCACGTGCACCCAGACAAGAGTAAGGCTCACTAAAAAAAGCTAGGTGCACTCCGCCCAAGAGTCAAGTGGGGATCTGAAATACTCCTCGACGTTAAGACGGAAGGCGAGCTGGGGGGGGCACTTGTGAGGGGGCCTAGCCCAAGAGGCGTGACCGGACTGTGTACCCTACCCCACCCTGGCCACCCATGACGGGGACCCTAGGACCACTGTGTCCTATCAAAACTCGGGTGGAACCGGAGTCCTAGTGCTTTTGCTTTTTCTCTCCTTGCAACCTCACTTAAGACTATCGCTCTTTAACCCTACACATACGTGTACATTAAGACTACAAACATACGTGAAGTGGAGCGAGGCACATGCCCTGACGGAGACCACTCTAGGTATACATAGGAGGAATATACGAAAGCCCTCCATTTTTGAAAGCCACAAACCAAACTCTTGCCCCAGGGACAAACATAGACGCCAGGGAGACTGAACAAGTTAGAGGGCGACGGCCAATGGATCCGTAGCGGTGGTGTTGGCGAGCGATCCGGATGTGACCGGAAGAGGTTCGCTGTTAAACTGATGCACACGATTTGACCCAGAACTCGCATCCATATACCGCCTATTTGACGACATGACCCAGTGGGTTTACAGGATGGACCACATTAGAAGGGTGAGAGGTTCTTAAGAGAAGTCCAAAACCATATAAGTAGACAACAGGGAGAGGGGAGACGGATGTCTTCAACCATATTAAGTTTATTGATCACTGACTGTTAGCAATGCATATACATGTGAGGCTCAAATCCACCAGGAACGGCAGACTGTATACTTCACTTGAAGCAGATCTTAATGCCTTATAAAAAAAAAGGGGGCCTGCGTGCCTGTGACACAGTTTTTGTCTGTATTGGTCTTTATGACCTTTGTCTTCTACAAA